AGCCCCTGTCAGCTGTAGTAGTATTGTATTGTTCTGCTCACCTTCGTAAATCACTTCAAGCAGTGAGTTTAGACCTTAGTGTAAATGTTATGTTTGAGTTGCTCACCCTAGCAACAGAGTACTTCAGTGCTATGTTGTGTGAGTAGAATTATGCTGGTGTAGAGATCACTTCTCCGCAGAGTGGGAATGGAATATATGTTTATATCCCTTTCAGTTCTGTTGTGGGGCAGTTCCTCTGAACTTCATGTCTTGTCCTGTTTGCTTGTTTCCAGGTTAAGAGCAGTATATAGCAATTATCTTTCATATTAATGGTAAGTTCCTGCAATTTTTTTGTTGCTGTACCTGCAAGCATTCGGATACATTTGAGGTTGGCAGCTACAATAGTTAGTGACTGATGTCAGGTGAGAAAGGGTAAAAGTAGCTTTATGCAGGAAGTGGGAAAAACTTGTGTGGTCCCTTCTTGTGAACCATTGTGCACAAATGAGGCCCAGGTGCTTTTAAAACTTTCGTAGTTTTGCAAGTCTCTGCTCTTTTCTAGTCAGCAGTATCTTTAACCTGAGCCAAGTTAATTGTTTTTGTTGGGCATTTTCCTGATAGAAAAAGGTAGAAGTTTGATTAAACTGCTGAAAGGCAGCATGTGGAGCAGCCAGTGGTCATTCGGCAGGAATCATATGTGTGGTTCTTAGGCTACTGAAACAATTGACATAAAAATGCTGCCTCCTGAGACTCAGCTGTAACCTGTCCTGTAATATAAAACTGGTGGTCGTTCATTTCTAAGGATTGCAAGTGGTTAGACAGCAGCTGTAATGGTGCTGCTTCAGTTATCCTGTAGCAAGGATTCCTTGGTTTTGCTGTCTGAGGGAAGGTTTGATGAGCTCTAGCTTGTTGCTTGGGCAGAGAGAAATCAGTGTAGACAGAATTCATCTAGTATGTCAGGCCTTTGTTTAGCAGGGTTTGGAGTGCAGCAGGTTCAAGGTGATGGTGAAATGGCATGGCTGTAGGTACATCAGTATGATGCAAGGTTTACAGCTCAGGACACTGAGCCAAATAGCACAAACAACTTGAGGCCAAGGTAGGTTGTATTATTCTGCTTGTTTAGCCTGGTTTCTAAAGGAGATTTTGCCTTTGTACTGTATTAATAATTTATTGTATATTTTTTTAATCTTTTAATGGCAGAACTTAAAGGAGGCGTTTAGATGTGATGTGGTTTAGTGGTTGACTTGGCAGTTCTGGCCTAAGGGTTGCGCTCAATCCTAAAGGTCTTTTTCCAACCTAAATGATTCTGTGATTCTCAGTTACTGAAGTTTTATAGAAACAGATTCAGTGCTAAAGGGGCAGGGGAGAGACTCAAAGTAGTAACTCTGGAGGGAAAAACCCTGCCATGTGAGCTAAGGCTGGCTGTCCCATGTGGTCTGCCAGCCAGGCACAGGCAGCACATGTGCAAACAAGACTTGGACAGAACTGATAGCTGATGGACTTGACTGTGGAGGATGTGAGCTGGGAGGGATCCAGAGGTTATTCCAGGTGCTGGGGGAGGAAGGCATTTCAGGAACACTTGTAGAAAACTGGTTCCATTAGTTCTAATGCAGGTTGTTCCCAAAGCAGCAGAAGCTGGTAGTTCAAATGAGTTTTGCCTCATCTTTTTTTAACAGAAAATTTATCACTTAATACTTCAGACTGATACAGTACATAGTGGCTGAGGGTCATGTTTTAGAAAATGCAGCAGTACCCTCACTACATAGATCTTTATTTTTCCAACCTTACAGTGTACACACAGACACGTGTATTTTCCCTTTTCATAAATACACTGGAATTTGCAGTAGGGCTGAGAGTTATTTTGCCTGTTGCAAAGTGAATTTAACAAAGTGCCTATAGTTCACATTCAGGCTTCATTTATGATAGCTTAATAGATGAGATTATGTAGAACAATGCTGTTGGCTTGTAGCTTGAATAACCAGTGTTTCTATAAAGACTGCTACAGAATAATTAACCACTGTCTGCTTGAGATTTGCTGATCTAGACACTGAGAGGTTTTTGGACTGTTCCTGAGGTAGAGCTGGAGGAGATGTAGAACAAAATCTCATTTGTTTATGGTAAATACTGCTACTAGAATGAAACATGGAATGAAATGCATCACAACTTTTCAGCACTCTTGGCAAGTTCACAAAGGAGAACTTTTAATCTCCTTTCTTTCTTATGGCTTCTATTCGAAGGCTTTTACTTCATTTATTAAAACTCTTAGAATGGCCTAAGCAACCTACTAACCATGATCGAGGTTTAATCCAAAATCCTCTAATGAACTTGTAAAGAAGCTGCAACCAAAGTTTCTTAACATTGCTCCAGCTCCTTTGACCTTTATATGAGCTTTTCACAGTGTGATGATGTGTGAGCATAAGCCAGCTCTACTCCCCTCCTGAGAACTTCCATTCTATGGAATGTAGGCTGTAACTTATCTCAGAAGTCAAATGACACTTCAGGAAATGGGCACATCACTTACCAAGTGTAGGCTTATTTTAGAAAATGATATTTATTGTTTTCTCAGGGTTACAAAGTGGTAAATGGTGCTTGCTGTTGATAACAAAATAATGCTTATGGGGTGAAAAACAATCCTGAAATGAGGGGCTTTAACTAATCTACTACAACTCAGAAAACAGAGCTTGAGTTCTATTACTTACAGTTCTTTTGAATCATCCATGGCATTTAATAATCTGGTCTCCTGAAGGATTTGAGAGCATTTTCAACTAGATGTTCAGGAGACTTGGATGTGCACTGGGAAGTGCATGGGCTTTGTTCAAGGTGTCTGCTACTGGCTGGTGTCAAGGACGTGGTTCTGAAGCTAGCTGGACTTGACCTGATCTGGTATGGTTATTTTCATGTTAAAATGAATATACAATAGTGAGTTCTTTTCTTGACATGAGACCTACGGACTGCCACGTGAAACTGAGGTGGTGTGATCCTGACATCACTGGAGGATGTCACGGAGGTCAAAAATGTGTGTTCAGAAAGCATCGAGGAATGGATGAGCAAGTTAGTGCAGGAGAAACCCCAGTTCAGAAGTTTCTTAAACTGATTCTTAATGATGATTGAGGTGAAGAAGAGCATCTTGGGGAATGATCTCTTTGTAAAAGCCCTTAAAAGCATCTCCTGCAGGTAACTGTGAGCACTGAAGTGGCTGGCTAGAACAAACAGCATAGCATTTCTGACAGAGAGAGGATGAGAGAATAATCTGACTCATGGCTAAATACATACTTTGTTTGTTTGTTTGTTTGTTTGACTTGCTGTGTTTGGCAGGCTGGGAATTCTGTTGCTTTTTGAGCCAATGCTGGTAACTTACAGCTTTTAACTTAAACATGGAGGTTGTTTTCTTGTTCTTCAAAATGACTGAGACACCATGTACTGCATGAGGCTCTCTTGGTTGCCTTTCTGCCAGTGGTATTGTCTCTGCTAAATTACAGCAACATGTCTAGAGTTTAAGTGTACTCCCACAATATGTTGTTCTGGAACATGGAGGATGTTCATAATTGTGCAAAAGAGGTAATGATTTAACAGGATAGGATTTGATTTGAGATACATCACTTGTGGATCAAAGCGACCTCAGTTCTTCTTGTTAACAAGTGTCAAGTGCATGCAAATGCTGCTTGAAACTCCTAAACATGCAATACTTCTGAGCTTGGTTAAACAGCACAAACCAAAAGGGACACTGTTTAGAGGCTGGCTAATAATATTCAATGTATTTCCCCCTTTTGAGAGAAGGAGCTGCACGCTGGACTAAAAGTCACTGTAGCATTCAATTTGAGGCATTGGGAAACTACGTGAACACTTTGCCTTGGATTTCTTGAATCGCTATTCTGAAAACATCCCTAAGGCACGTTCAGAGCTGTACCTGCACATGGGAAGGCAAGCAGGCTGTCATCTTCAACAGATGGGAACTGAGTTACTTCAAACATTCAGGAAGGTGTCTAGAAGTTTTACTTTAAAACTTCCTTATAGTTAGTTTGCTTTTTTCCTTAATTGGGGTGGGGCAGAGGTAGTCTTGCCATGTGTTGTTATAGTGCTCTGAATCATGCGGAGTGGCTTCAGCAGCAGTTTCACAACAGAACACTTGACTGCTTCAGGGACAGGGAGCCCAAGTCAGTACCAGGAAAAAGTGATGTTAGACTAAGCTTTCACCTCTCTGTGCAGCTCTTGAATTAGTGCAGTTCATTTTACTTAGCGTTCTGTAGCCAACAAACTGATCCCAATTAACAATAGCTCTTTTTAAGACACACAAGTTCTGTGAAGAACTTATGAGCTGTTTCTAGTCCTTTTTACTGATGTTTTACTACTTCGAGTTTATGGTTAGGACTGCAGTCTTTCTTCTTGCTATTTCTTTGCTGTGTTTTTAGACTTTCAAAGTTACAACTCGGGTGTGATTTGTATGATTTTGGTGTGAGAAGGAAGATTACTGTACTCAGTGTTCTACCTTCCTCCAATTGCTTGCAAAGTACTTGGCTCGTTTGGGGACCTCCTTGACAGAATTAGGAGATGATTTAGCCTCTTCAGTAAAGAAATTAGATGGAAATAGAAATACACAAAGTCTAAATATTTTGCTTTTCAGTTTGATGCAGAGAACTTCCTTCCACTTCAAACCTCCTAAGGCTGGAAAAAGTGCTTCCTCTTAAGCCACAGGCTTCTTGACTGCCTTGAAGTGTGTGGAATAAGATGCGAAATCAGAGCTGTTGTACTCCGTGGACTGAAATGTAATACTCCATGTCCTTAACACTGCTACAAGGCCAACAAGATACTTAATGAAAGTATTGCATGTGGAGAAAGCTTTCACCATGTTCTGACCTTCTCACAGCTGTGAGCAGGTCACTTGGGGACCCTGACCATCAGGAAGGGCTCAAGCTCAATATCTTTCCATTAGCAGCATTTTATTCACTTGCAGAGTAACAGTAGAGTCAGATTCTGTAGTCTGAAGTTTCTGATGTTTTAAGCTTGAGTTTGCTCTCAAACACGACATGAGCATCATGAAGAGGTGAGAGCATACAGCAAGGGCAGGGAGAGGGTCGGAATTCAGCATCCTGAAGTTACTTTGAACTTGGCTAATGTGGGACCACAGACTTTGTGTTATGCTGTTTAGTCTCTCAATAGGGAAAACCTGAGTGTGTTCAAATGGAGTTTAAAGCCACCCTGCAAAGAATTCTCACTTGGAGACTAGAACAAGCAGTTGTACCTGTGGATAGTAACCTGAAGCATCTATAAATGTGGTAATACAGAACAGTAAAAACATCATATTAAATGTAAAAAGATGATGCCTTTAACATATCTAGCTCCTTAATACTGCATTTGGTAGCTGGACACATGTGACAGTTGTCATGTGCTGTGACTATCTTATCAAAGTTCTCACTTAAGATCCAGATAATCTTCAGTGTGGGGGAGGAAAGTCTTGTCATAGCTGAGATTCTTTGGAACTTGAATATTTCTTTGTGATGTTTGCTTATCTGTTGTTGCACAGTGTTTGGTCATCTTTGCAATCCCTCCCTCTTGGAATCATGGCTCCCTTCGCTGTCAAGTGCTGCACTCGTATCTCTACTGCTGCTTTTCCAGATCTTTGGTATCCATCCTTGATGCTGCTTCAGCCACAAACTACACTAGATGTTAAGTGGGACTCTTGGCCATTGTATACTGGAGGGAGGATGTGCACTCAGCCTTGTGCCCCCGCAGTTTGTGTAGCCCCAGACTTCCACTGGGATGACTGCAGGGAGCGAGGCCATACAACACTGCTCACCCCAGTGATTAGCCTTGGGTCTTTCTGAGCCTTTGAGGCTCTGGGATGAGAGGCATTGTCCCATGGTAACACAGTGTCAGTCTTCTCTATGCTGGCTTGAAGCTTTATATTTGCACGTAAGTTTCCCTTAAGTCATTTATGAGATTTGAGACCAAACTAGTTGAAAGTAGGTTTGCTTGTTTACTGTTTATGCAGTAAATGTGCTTTCTAGGGGTTGGTACCTAATTCTCTGCTCAGTTTCTTGGGGAGAAGAGCACAAGACTTGGGTATAATAGCTAATTCCAGACCATTACTAAGTTTGAACTAAAATGATTAATTTGAAAACGTTTTGAAAATACTCCACAAATGACTGTGAGATTATGAAGTGTTTTGGAGACTGTCTTAAATTGCACTAACTGTGGTACCTTTCTCATGCGAGGAAACAGCTTGTAATGCAGTGGTAGCCTTTCAGTGGTCTCAGATGTATGGCAAAGTGTATCAGCAACATTCCTGTAGCATGCAGGAGAGAGCAAACCAGTGCTGTGTGTTTAGAAGAACTGCTGCCTCTAACTAGTACAAGAAGCTATTTGGAAGTTGCACTTGTGCTGGCATACATGTAGCACGCTGGTGTTTGCTGCTGCAGCAGCAGTGAGGGATTGTGCTTTTATTTACATAGATATGTGACAGTCCACCTGATAATGTGAACCTCACCTTTTATGCAGTGCTTGACTTGATGCTCCAGAGATGTGCTGGCAGATATCCTAATGTTCTCATGTACATGAGTTCAGTTGCATGTTGAAGCACTAATAAATACGGCCCTCGCTTTGCTTTGACAAATAACAGCATGATCTGCCTTAGGGCATTAAATTAATGGTTTCTTGCACAAATCCATTTGCTCATTTAATCTCTTATCGCCTTATTGCTGCAGCAGTTCTGTAGGGTTTGTGTCACTTTGTACCTTATCACTAAAAAGTCGAAAGTCACTTTGTGGTTAAGGTTCAAGATGTTACACACTGTGCCAGGGTTCTAACAAATGAGGTCTGTGAATCCTGTATGGTACCATCTCCGGCTTGTCTCCTTGATAGATTTGGGTTCCTCCTAAGGTGTTAGACTGATCGGGAGCAGCTGAAGTGCAAACACATGTTCTGATTTGCTTGCTCTGATGCCAGTAAGGGAAGTGCTGGTAGAGTGGTAACAACTAGTTACTGAGTTGTACCATTTTCCCCTCAGGTGTATAGTGAGCACGTGTCCAACTTACCATGCTGGAAAGAACTGCTAAAGCTGTCGTTGGAGGAAGGAAGTGTTTATTTGACAAAAGAGCTTTAAACTCCAGCCCTAGGAAGCAGACATGGTATTTGGTGAAGCTGCAACTGTGTGATTTGGTAGTTTCTGGTGTGTCAAATACCTTTTGCCAGCAGTGTGTGGGACAAAGTTCTATGTAGTGCACTGCCTGTTGCAAGCTGCTTGGTTTTCCAGGATAACCCTGAACTTTATATAAGACTGTGGTGGTCGTGTCAGAATATATGTTGTGTGGAGGTCTGGGGTTTCTTGATTCCTTAACTGTGATGAACTGGAAATCCTGATCTAAAGCAACAGGTACCCAAATACAAGTTAATTAGTTTCACTGTTTTACAGATGGGGTCGAGGATTCGGTCTGTTGGGTTCCATCTTTGGAAAGGACAGTGCAATAAATCAGTCAAACAGTGTTTTTGGACTCGTGTTTTATATACTACAAATGCTACTTGGTAAGTATTAATTCAGTTTTGAGCCTAAAGTAAAGCTGTGTGGTGATGAGTGTGTTACACATTGTGCAATCTGCAAGAGACCAGACAAATGCATGTGATGTTTTTTTGTCTTTTGTAGCACCAGTCTAATGACACATCTGTCCAAAGGACTTAAAACCCCAACTGATAACCAAAGCAATTGCATTTTCTCCTGTTATACTATTAATATAAGCATCAAGACAGTTGCTGCACTGGTATTTTCACTTCAGTGTATTTAGCGTTGTCTTGCATGACAGAAAAGAGAGGAACTAAAAATGGAGTTCACAAGTTTTGCAGGAGTTATAGCAGGCAAAAAGTGCATGAAATGTAATGTTTATATATTTCTTTAACTCTATGGTCTTCTATAAAGCTATTGATAGACATAACTTGACCAACCTGTAACTTTCCTATAACTCAGGAATACGGAAGATGGTTAATACACATACTTCTTATCAAAGGACTGTCGTACACAACCTAGAAGCTCCCCTCCAAATAGCGATTTGCGAGCCACCTTGAACTCATGGTACTTTAAACAGACTTCTATGTAATACCAACTTGCTGAGTAGCCTTCAGTTTGAATTAGAGTGCTTAGGCTTTTTGCTTTGTGTGGAAGGGGGGGAATGAGAGCAGCGGTAGTAACTCTCTCTCTCTTGTTGCAGGTATGACAGCAAGTGCAGTAGCAGCTCTAATCCTCATGACATCCTCCATAGTGTCTGTAGTAGGGTCATTGTACTTGGCATACATTCTGTACTTCGTGCTGAAGGAATTTTGCATTGTCTGCGTCATCACATATTTGCTGAACTTCATTCTCTTTATCATCAACTACAAACGACTAGTTTATTTGAACGAGGCCTGGAAACGGCAACTCCAACCCAAACAGGAATAACGCCTGTTTGAACTTTTGACTGACAGTCTGAAGACCCAACTTCCATTAAGTTTATTTTGCAGTAATTTTTTATTCTCCATATCAGACACTTTCCCAGAGAATCATAACTGAATTTTTAAGTATCAATTTGAAGGGGCCCTAGATAAATCTTTTTCTTTGTGCTAATCTTCAATTTCAATGTGGTTATGAAAGAAAGCTCTAATACAATCAAAGACAAGCTTTAACTTTACTTTGAAGGAGTTTTAGCCACAGCAAAACCTAGACTCTCTTCCCCCCTCCACTTGTGAAGTGGGTAACACTTGCTATAAAATATCCTGTATATAAATTCAGGTATAACAAGATGTGATCATGACATTAAATATTCTAGACTAGGATTTACCATATTTAATGTTGCCATGTTTACAGTATGTGTATTACTTTTCTTTTTTTAGCTGATGGACTTAGATTTGACTAGGACTTATACTGTAAATAAAACTAGAAATACTGGTTTCATCCCTGGAGAACTCACTGTACAATCAGTTTTGCTAGCCTAGGAGCTGTCAGAGTGTTCAGCTAATACTCGACTTACGTGATGGAAGAAGTGACCTCTAGAGAACACTGAGTTGCTGCACTCGCTGCTAGTGCTGTCGTGAGAATGATGGTTGGGTTTTGTTCCATTCTTTCTTTTTTTCTTTTTTCTTGTCTTCAGTAACAAAAAATGGAATTAAAGCTGAAACCTGAAGTATGTTCCTTAAACCACAACTTCATTAATTTCTGTACAGAATGAAATAGCTTAATGTGGTCAATAGAAAGCTGCCACTGGGATATTATATGCAGATTGGGGGTTGGTGTATCAACATTCTTTGGAAGGACTTAATTTCCATGCAGAGCTGTTTCATTTTTAACCTGTGGTCAGCCAGCCAGTGTTACTAATGTTTGATGTTATATGAATGCTGCAGTATAGAATTGCAATTTGCAGTGGAAACCACTGACTGAATAGGATAACCAAGAAGAGTTCCTTAATTGATCTTCGTCAGGATCTTTGGTTTGTGCTATATTGGGAAATGAACTTTAGGCCTGACACACATAAGATCCCTTGGAAGGGCACACTGTTTAGTGAGATAAGTAAGTAAATGTGCTCCTGAAAATGAAATGTGATATAGTGCTATCATTGCTCTTTCTAATAACTAACTGGGAAGAAAAATTAAACTGCAGATTTAAAGAGGAACAAAATTGTAGATGTTGTTTCTGCACTCAGTATTCTAAGGCTGAATGTTAAAAGTGCCTTCTGTCTTAAAATCTTAAACCAAATACTTTGTGTTCAACTTGGCAGGCAGAAGTGTCCTTGCTTTAAAAATGAACAAACAAACTAATTCCCAGCAAACTTGCTGGGGATAAAAGAGTATTAAGAGATGTGTTTTAGTTTTTAGACTGAGAAGTGGTAGCAATATTGTTTCAGTTAACTTAAACCAATGTGAGCGAAGGTTGATGATGCAATTTGGAAAAGTAAAGTACTTGTGTTTCAGACTCTGTGACACCAAGATGTATAGGTTCAGCTGCTTTCTGTAATTGGTGCTGTGCTGCTTTTTGCCCTTGTCAGCTTCTAAATATGAAGAACTCCAACTGCATACCCATTTATTTAAAGAATGAGCTTAACAAATTTTAGGATGTTTTTCCTTAAACATGAATGTCAGAGAGACACTTACATTGTATGGCTTGGTGGATTCTAAACACTAAGTTGCTGAGGATAAACTTGACTGTGAAACATGCAGTGTTCCATAGAGAGAAAACTAGACTTTTTAGATTGAATTCACAAAATGCTATTTAAATTACTAAAGTAATTTTCTGGTTTGTATCAAGGATGTAGGTGGAAACTGCTTTTATGTATAGAGTTCTGTGGTATGAGTAACATCTGTTGCATGTAACACTAAACGACTTGTCCCTCTTGTCTAACAGTTTTAGACAATTCATTAAATGCGTTTTGTATTGACCGGAGTATAGTTAAAGCTTGTCTTGATGTTTAGTTCTGTCTCTCAAATGCCTTGAACTTTGATACGAGGGGAGTGAATGATGTTAAACTGGTCCCTCAAGGCTTAACTTTGTTCTCTTACAAGCCTTGAGGCTCTATCGCTGTTTAATATGTTGTGTTGTAGTTTTATTTTGGTGCATTCCTGTGATCTATTCTAAGGCATCTTTTTCATCCGAGGAAGAGGTGAACACGTGCTGCCTGCAATGGTTAGTCACAGTGATGATACCTCAGAACAAGCAGCAATGGAGACAAGTATGATCAGTGATTACTTGGTCCAATTTCTGGGTGTAGCGCGCACCGAAAACAAAGGAGAAAAGCCCCATCAGCTGAAAGTATAGGTGTTGACTAACTTCACTGTGTCTTGTGCTTGTCTGTGTGGGCATAGTCTGTTAATTCAGTTTGTTTAGTAAAATTGTTTAGGGCCAGATTTTGCGCAGTCGTGTCTGCAGTCCTTGTTTGTGTGGCCATAGGGATCAAATGGAAACCGAGTTTGGTCTCTGGAAGAATTTGCAGCTACACTTTGTGCACGAACTTGCCAGTCTGATCCTTAATTGTGAACTCTCTTGTCTTGTGTGCTTTTCTTGCAGTTACTTTTTACTGGAAGTGATTTGCTAGAAATGGCCCTAACTCTTCTACTTCCTCTCTTTGTGCTTCAGAAATGCAGTTGGCCTGAATAAAGGGCAAAATAATGTTAGCAGTAGAAATCTGGACCTTTCTGCTTCCAGTTCTTTGACTCTTTCCTTGTTGCTCCCAATGATAGAAACAGCATATTTCTTCCAGTAAAATGGCTCAGGTTATGATTAGTGATGTGATGGAAATCAGAGGAGTGCTTCATGCACCTGCCCTCCTGCCTGCCCCAGCCAAAACAAATGCTGTGGCAAGTATTTAATATGTACTTGATATTAACTTGACCCATACAAATCTGAAGGCAAATTCTGAGGAATCTTGAGGATACTATGGGTAAAAGCCAGTAACTGATACCTGGTCTGGCAGGACAGGGGGGCATTACACAGATTCTGGTTATGTTTCAACACTCAAAGAGAATTGGGGGAGTGGGGGTGGTGGAAATCATAATATATAAACAGTGGTTCTGAATTTGGGCTTCTCCTCCCCCTCATTGGCTCTTAGAAGGTCCATGGTGGGGTGGATTGGAAAAGCAAAAAACCTCATCCCAAAACCTGCTTAGGAATTAAACATTCCTGAAATCCTCTTACTGTAAGGTACTTGCTACTCTTAAGGCCGACGAAGCATTCAAGTCTCGATTCAGAAATGAATGTTCTTGGAAGTTTCTTACTGTAAAGTGTTCGCAATGCTAAGGCCAATGAAACATTCCCTACCACCTTCGCTATCTAAAGTGACAACAAATCTCTGTCTTGGGAGGTTTCTGCATACCATAGGCCGCGTTAGTCTCTGCTGTGCAGATCTCTCAATAGTTCCAAAAGATTGGTGAGGTGCTTCACAGGCAGCGCTTGATGCTCCTAATCTATATGGGCTAAAGTTAAAAGAGATCTAATAGCTTTGGTTCTGCCAACGTCGTCTAAATGTGATCTAGACAAAACTGGTCAGGAAAAGATGAAGTATTCTGTACCGTAAAACTGTATTAAGCATGGCCTAAATATTAGGTGTTTGTTCTGTATAGTATGTTCCATCGACTATTTATTACTAGTGCTTTAAACTCCAAATTAAACATCCCTTGAAATGGAGTCATTGGGCAGATGTTCCTTTTATCAATATAGGTTGAGAGATTCTCTACTGGAGGTTTAGGATACAATTTTGCTAACAGGTAAAACAATGTAAATATGTACGAATTCTATTTGTTGCACATAACTTTTTTGGTATAAAAAAGAATAAATGTAGAAATTACCTGTGGACGTCTTGCTGCAATCATTCTTATGCTGCATTCATTCCAAACATAAGAGCTTGAATGAACCCAATTGGAGGCCTTTTTGGACTCAGTCTGAGCCTTAGAAACTGTTTTTAAAGCCAGTACTGTAATTCTGTTTGTAGACATGTACTAAGCTGTGATTGTTTTCAGAGATACTGTCTGTTAGCAGCAGAACAGCTAAAGCACTCGGGTGCCCAGCGATACCAGTTCAGAGCATTTCTGCAGCTTCATTGTGTCTTGCTGAATGTTGTGTGCACATGGGCCTGTAAAGGGTGAGCAACATTGACTTGAAGCTTTAACTGTTTACAGTTCTTTAGGCAAGGTGCAAACCCCTCCCTGTTCAGTGTGTTCCTTTTATCATTTCCTGCTTTTCTTGGTTCTGTAGCTCTGCTTTACCCTGCCCCAACACAATCACAAAGTATCTGAAAACTGCTGTGTGTTCTCCTGCACTTGGGGAGGGAGGAGCTGCTGGGAAGGGCTGGGTAGTGGCTTGGCGTTCTGATTGCACTGAGCTCCTGGGAACGGGCAGGAGCTTAAGACTGAAACGTGTGCTTACTGTATGTGTGGGTATTAAACTTTGCATCTGTTCTCTTGGACTGAGTGGAAGTTACAGGGTTCCTTCTGCAACCGCAAGCCTTGCGTGTAACCACAGGGATCTGAGTTTGTAATGAGTTAACAGTGTCAGACCTTTATGTGTGTTCTGGTGTGGCAGCTGTTGGTATGTCACGTCTGTTGAAATGGGGAAGAAAATGATTTAAAGGAAATTATGTCTAGAGAGCGAGAAGTCACAATGACTTTCATTGTTGGCTGAAGTATAGTATTTGCTCTTATACCACGGTACGTTTGAGTGCATAGACTTCTATATTCCGGAGTTTTAGTTACATAGAAAATGTGTAGACCTAACACAGCATAAGGAGTATTGATAGTATGCTGCTGCTTTTCCCTAAAAAGCAAAATTGTTCTGAAGCCTGCAGTGAACATGTATGTCCTTACTCTGCGTGTAGCAGTGTGGACAGTGGTGCTGGTTTCTAACGTACTGCATCTAAAGGAAAGAGAATGTGGGAGAAGAGCCAGTCGCAGGAACAGTCGTAGCAACAGTTTCACAAAGTGTCTGTGCTTCAGAAGAACAGAACTACAGAATTGTACCAGCTTCCAAAATGCAGTAGGCAGCCTCCAGTTTGGCATTCTGTTCTGGGTGACGCTGCGCTTGGGACAACCCTGGTGTGTTGCAGTAAGAAGTTTGCAGAATGTTCTGAGCTTTTCTGTATATTGGCATAATCTATTGCAGTCTGAAGCCTGGCCTTTAGGGTCCTCTAAGCCTGTTGGGCAGCGTGAAAGGGATGTTTCTACACTACGTTACTGTCTAATGTAGCATGTGCACATTAATTTACACATCACCCTACCCCACAAGGCTTCAGGCGAGTATCAAAAAGGTTTAGAACAAACTTACCCTCTAGACTACTATTACTGTAATACACAGTGACAATTTAACATGAAGGAAGTCCTTCCAAGCTGGAAGATAAAACACATCTACTAATGGCTGCTCTGGTACTGTGAGTAAAAGAAATAGTTTTAGGCAAAGCTCAGTTGATGTAGTACCTATCTAACATATTCCACCTTGCTGCTGTAGTGTGAATTCCGTACTGTATTGGAGTATGTTGGGTATCCTCACAGTAATACTTTGTACAATTCCTGAATGCTGTGAACTCTCAGAATTTCTCAGCCAGCTGCATATGTTCTGTCCCCCAAGAGAAGCTATATAGATACTGTGCTCTTTGGTAATCCTGCAGGCAGCCTGCTGTGATCTGAGTAGTGTAACCGTTAGGGGAGTATAACTGGAGAACCTCATTTCCATTGGAGGGATGTGATGTTCATTTAGAGTAACCTGGATTTTTTTGAAGTCTTCAGCATTGATTTGTATCACATAATGCTTTTTTTGCCATAACCAGATACCTCAGTCAGGATCTCTAACTTCAGCTCTGAATATTCATTTACTGCCTGGAAACAGGAAGCCTACAGACATGGCTAAGCATATGAAACTAGTGTTTCTGATCTGCTTCGTATCACAGTAACTGCTTCAGGTGGACTAGAAATTGCATTAGACTTGCAAGACTTGAGTCAGGCATAAATATTATTTAAACAGAAGTTTAATGAACAAGTTCAGCATAGCACTCAGCCACCGTATCTTTTGATGTCATTTTAGAAAGAAGGTATGTGACTTTATTACAGGAGGAAGACAGCTTGATTCGTTTGCAATCTTCCAGTATCTTTCTCTAAGAACAAATGCAGCTGCTTTGGGCTGTCGTTGGCGGGTAAATATTCCTTTCTTGTTCCCCAAAACACGTGTGGTCCCTGTAGAGAAGTTATAAAATTAAGCGAGTATACATAAAATACTCTTGTATCCCCTACTGTGAACTGTTACAGTGCATGTACTAAATCAGGTTACATGGAAGAGACCTATGCACTTTCTTCCACATGCAGTCAGGTACAACGGGGAACTTGGCAGATGTAACTTGCATCATCTTGGCAAGATTAATGGTGTAACTGAGCAATGCAGCTGCAGTTTATTGTAGTGACAACTGGGAAGTCAATGACAGTTAATTCAGGTGTGCCCATTAGCTTGATCAGCATTATATTTACAGCAGATATTCCTTCTGCCATTAGTTCCACCTTGACAGTGAAAATGTTGATTGCTGTTTGACTGTGCTGTCCTTTAGTAGTGTTTGTATCCTGTCTGCCTCTTTTTCATAGGAAACTAGAAAGTACAATTGCAACATGTAGAAAGCCTGGAGCTGCCTATGTGTATGTGAACTTGTCTGTTTTCTCCATCCTCCTATTGGAAACAGATAGCACTTTTCCAATTGCTGCTCTGTGCTGACTGAGCTTTCTAATACCTACATTGGTGCTCTACAGGTTATTCTTAATGGTGTTTCTTTGCCTGAAATTAACACTGACTGTTCACCACCCTAACTCCCTGCAGGTGGCATATGCATAACTAGTTCCTTACGAGGTCTCCTTCTGAGTTGTAATTGTTTAATTTCTGTGTGTCTGCACTGTAATGCCCAATACTTTGTGAATGCACATTAATAGTGGACCAAGTGTCATGATAGACAGTGGTCTACCAGAATGGCATCTGGTCCTCTAGTGCTAAACCTCTACCAAGTTAGTAATACATTATTTAAGGTGCTCTGTTTACCAAGGGCAGTTGTAGATGAAATATGAAGCAAGTGAGACATGTCCCTAACAGCTGACTGCAGCTCTGAATTAAGGATAGCCAAGAAATAGCAGTAATCTGGGTCTGCTCACAAGCTTCCTTTGCATTCTGCCCTAGCGCGTTGTCTCATGTTTTGGGGAGCATCTCTGCAGAGGGGACACCTAGGAGCTTGAGATGTGGCGGGAGGATGCATTAAATACAGGCAGGACCTTCCCTCTTGGCTTTGTCCCAGAAACCAGCTTGATAAGCAGAGGGCCCTTTTGTCCTGCCCTACAGCACAATATTCTTTGTGTGTCATAAACCATTTTAAACTTGCACAGAGGCTGGAGAGTTGGTTAGAATATAAATAGAAGCTTACCTTGATTGGTCATGAAGTCTGCAAAATTCCAGATGAGCTCCCCAATCACATACTCTTTCCTCTTCTTGTCAAAAACGGAATGGTACTCCCCGAGCATGGCTTTCTGGTATTCCTCAGTGAACATCAGAGGAGGATCCTACAGCCAGGGAAAAGAGGTGGCCTTGACTGAAGTGACAGTTAATATCAGCAAAGGCTCTGTATGTTTACTCCCTGTTTACTCCCTGTTTACTGGGGACCTGCTTCCTGAAGACAAGCTTTACAACTGCTTGGTCTTTTCACTGCAGGTGCATTAACTGTGACAATTGGCAACTCCTGAAATCACAAGGGGAAGCACAGTACAAACACAATGCCAGGGATGCTTGGGGGGGGGAAAGTCATGGTTTTGTTTGGTGCTTTGTGATAGGTGTAGACTGCCACCCCCTTCCCTGTGGGATAGCCTCATGAAGTGAATGTCCACTCTCCAGTGTCCTGTTTTCCAACTAAGCATTTTCTGTGAGTGCCCAAGTGCAGATTTTGGTGCTCAGTGCTTTTAGTCAAAGCTAAAGACTTTTCTCTAGGTAGAATCTAATCTTTGGTAGTAGCACAGCCCATTGATTTCAGTGGAACAGGATTACAATCCTGGAGTCTTTCAGACACTTACAAGCTAATGCATCCCAAAGCTAAGTCAGGCTCAGTGGTACCCACCTCTTCTAATTAAACTTTGCTGCCCCTGTAAGAAGAGCAGTACTTTTTTCAATCCAGAGCATCTCTAACACTTACACTGTGAAGTCCAGGGATTGAGTCTGCTCCGTATTCACTCTGGATAATGGGTTTTTGGTAGGTTTTATACCAGTTCTCAAACTGTGCTGTGAGTTGTAGTGGAATAACTTCCAGATGGCCTGGGTCATGATACCAGGAGAAGTAGCTATTTACACAAATTACATCCACATAAGGAGCCTATAAAAAAGAAAAGGGTGAGAGTGTTTTATCACAGAGCTCAAAGTAGATAACGTTCACTTGTAAAGCTAAATCCTCCTTTTGGTTCATTTAATGGAATCCAGTTTTATTACATGTAGAATCAAGTCTTTTCCCCCATCACTCAGGCCCTCCCAACATAACACCTTTCCCTGGAAAAAAGCAGTTATTAAATTTAATAATAGCATATTAATTTGCCATTTTTCTGACAGACTTAGGAAGTCACAGCAAAGAGTTAGACAAGATCAACCCATTTCATCCTCAGGTTTGTTAGAAGCTTTTGAGTTTCCAAGATGTCTCTGGCTTGCTGGTACATTTAGATGTACTTCTTGAGTATTGGAATGTGATTATCAAGTTAGTGGTCAAATATTTTTGACTAGCAACTAAATTTGTGCATCAATGGTGCAATACTAGGACTAAGCATCCTGCAAGTTATATGCCATTTCTACCACATGGACAGTACGATAAAAGGGCACGAAGCCCACTAAAGATAAAGTGATGTTGTATGTAACTTGTTCAATGTTCTCTTAACATGTTTTGTAATAAAAGCAAAAAAGTTCTAATATCACATCAGTGTATGAGATCTATTCTTTGCTTTTTTTCCTGTGTCCTCAAGCTATTCAGAACACACTCGTGGGGATGGGATGCCAGGAGTCAGCATGTGTGTGCCTGACGGAGCAGCAGTATCCAAGAGCAGATCCCTGCTGGGCTCCTTCAATACTAAGGCCACCAGGTTTTATCCTGGGGCAGGGAGGAACAGAGCTCTTGGAGCTACAGGAGGCCATGTGAGGACAGCCCGAAAGAAATACAAAGTGTAACCTGTATGGGGGACGTGTGGTAGAACCACATCCCTACAGACTTGCCTGCTAGAGGTGTTCATTGCACAGTAGTGACAAGGACTATAAATCCATCTTGGAACAATTAAAAATCACATAGGAATGACCCCAGAAACAAATTTATGTGTGTGAAAGATCCTTGGTTCATGTTACAGCCAGCTTAAGGCACAGACATCCGAGAAAAGTGTCTTTTGGATATTTATACAGCTCTAAGACTTTTATAATGAAGCTGGAAGAGCTTATAGATTATTCAATGTTAATAGACATCTGCCAAAGAAGATCTAGAGCAGTTTAAAGCAGGAATTAAAGCAAAGCTGCCTTTCTTTAGACTTCCCCAAGGCCTGTTAAGCATTTTAAAGAGGTTTAAGCTTTGGTTTAATTGCAAGTGAACGCAATCAATGGAACAGCAAAGCATGACAACGTTAATGGAATCCAGGGGTCTGATCCTGCACACTTCACTCAAGACAAAGAACTGTTCTTTCTTACAGATTTCTTTTTCCCCAGCTGGACTATAGCTACAGGCTAAGGTGCTTTATACTAGAAACAAAACTGTAAGTTCTCTTCTGCCTCTCCCTATTAAGTACCTCCAGTAAACTTGGGGGTGGAAGGGGAGGAGGGTAATAGAAATTACAAGAAAAGGAAATTTAATGCATCAATTAAAGAAAGGTGAGAAAATAAAGTGAACTTACACCATGATCAAGAGCGTAATTAGCATCTGTCACATAGGTTACTGGTCTGGAGGGATCGAGAGCTTTAGTGTGAGCTATCACTGTCCTGTTTACAAACAGTAAAGCAAGAGTTCAGCAACAGCATGGAGAAGCACAGCCCTGTTTCCCCAAGCTCTCTGTCCTTCCACCCCCACAGACATTTGGAGCTGGTTCGGATTTAGCAGACAGAGTATTCTTAATTAAGCAGTGTAGGATACTTAGTGATCATCTGCTATCAAGTGCCTGTAAAGTAGCCCGTTCTGTAGGAGTATAAACATCATGTCACAAAGCTGGTTGCTGTCCTGCCTGAAAAAAGACCAGAGTGGAAGTATACCAGGCATGGGCAGCTTAGGAGTTGGAGATGGGACAGTGAGTTTGAAGACAAAAACATAAGAAGGGTAATGGGAAGTTTCTCAACAGCTCTGTTCCTGCTAAAGCACAAGGCCACAGCAGAGAGAGCAGCTAAAGGTTGGCAGCCCTTGAGGAAACCCTGAATGAGGGAGGTACGGGGATGGGGAGATGAGTCAGTGGATGGGAGGGTCAAGCTCTGCTGCTACCTCGATGTTGCAGGAGGGTGGTGTGTCATTGTGAAGATGAAACTTTGTGGTTACCTCTCAAGGCACCTAAAGCTACCAGGGACAGTCTGTTATCCCATTAGAGACATGACTCTTGACTAACCAAAGCTTAAATCTCTTTAAAAGGTGGGGGGAGGAGGAGGAGGAGGGAGAGAGCTGTAGAGATTCAAAGCAGTGGCTTTGAAGGGGGTGTCATGATCCCCTTCAGAACAAATAACCAGCACTAACTGAAGAACCTTGTCTTTAGAATTAAAGGCCAACTATTTCACAGCTTTTCTGATATTCTTTAAGAATTTAGCACTTCTACCGGTAACAAGGAAAATCCTGTTCCCATCGAGTCTGCTTTTGCTTGACCCTTGGCCCAGACCAAATGGACTCCTGCTAACTTTGCAGAGCCTTGCTTCTTCAGAAGCAGCAGACTGGGACTGTTACGTAGTGCTGAGCATCAGCTCAACACACGCAGCAGCTACACCTTCAACCTGTGGATACTGCTTCAGGGTTCCCAAAAAATGCTTGCCTTCTCTTTGCTACTTCTCGGTGCTATCCCAAAGGAAGAAGACGCACCAGTTGCCAAGATCCAAGCCTCGTCTCTCCGTACAAGCAGATGCACTTACTTAAAGTAATACGCTGCCGGGGCCAGCTCCGACGCTGGCTCGTTGGCTACTGACCACATCACAACCGATGGCCTGTTCTTATCCCTGCGGATCAGCTCCTCCATCACAACTAGATGATGCTGCAAGGACTTGTTCCCAAAGCTCTCACTGAAAGACGAAAGGAAGCAAGACGTGGTGAGGTGAGGGTCTAAAATCTATCCTTTCTGCCCTTCCCTGTGCAAACTCAAGCTTTTGGGGTGTATAAGCACAACTGAGCCTTGATGCTGGGTCTGGCTTCTGCCCTATTTCCCCAAAGCCTGTTGCACAGTTCAGGGCCATGGTTTGGGCTCGTTAACCCAGAGAGCCCAGACGACGTGATGGCCATGTGGCAAAACACCCTCCGGTTGCCCAACCTCACCAGGCACACGTGGCACAACGGGCTGATTTCTAAATAGAGCAAAGTACTTCCATTATCAGGACAACGGGCGCTGCGGGATGGGAGGGGGATGCTTCTGAAGGAACACAGAAACAAGGGGAAGGGTCTTTTGAGCCCTTTCTTACGGCATTTTAATGCCCACGGCCGGGCACTCGTCGATCACCACGATGCCGTAGGCATCGCACAGGTCCATGATCTCCTCGGCGTAGGGGTAGTGGCTGGTGCGGAAGGAGTTTGCCCCCAGCCAGCGCAGCAGGTTGAAGTCCTTCATAACCAGGGGCCAGTCGAGCCCTTTGCCACGGATCTGGGGGAGGGAGAGAGACGTTGCACCACCCATCA